GTCTTCAGCAGGAACTGGATCACGAGGTCGCGGAAACTACGGAAGGGCCGACAGAGACAGGTCGGATAGATACGAAGCGCCCGCACAGCAGCCGTTCCGGTGCCATATGTGTGGAAGGCATCAGAACGCGGGACACATGAGGATCTCGATCGCAGATAGTCTCGACCTGAATCCTTACGGATTTGATCACTTCTGCGCTCATTGCGATCCATCGGGGGAGAGGCTCGAGCGGCGAGTAGGTTACGATAGCCACGGCACAGTGGGCAACAGAGGCGTGAGTGGGAAAGAGCCGAGTTCAAGTTGTGGTAGCTCCCAGAATCCATACATGAGCTCACAAGTAGCAGCCGCAGCAGCAGCAGCATCCGCTGGAACTGCAGTCCCCCACGCAGCAGGAGCAGAAGTAGCGGCAACACTGTCGGGTGGCACATCTAAAGGTAGAGGGGCGGCGACGTCGGCGGCGGCGGGGGCGCCTAGGATTTTTTCGTCATGTTCTAATTCTGGTCAAGTTTCTACACGGCAGACGGTTACAGCTGGTGCCGGATCTTCANAGTCTCGACCTGAATCCTTACGGATTTGATCACTTCTGCGCTCATTGCGATCCATCGGGGGAGAGGCTCGAGCGGCGAGTAGGTTACGATAGCCACGGCACAGTGGGCAACAGAGGCGTGAGTGGGAAAGAGCCGAGTTCAAGTTGTGGTAGCTCCCAGAATCCATACATGAGCTCACAAGTAGCAGCCGCAGCAGCAGCAGCATCCGCTGGAACTGCAGTCCCCCACGCAGCAGGAGCAGAAGTAGCGGCAACACTGTCGGGTGGCACATCTAAAGGTAGAGGGGCGGCGACGTCGGCGGCGGCGGGGGCGCCTAGGATTTTTTCGTCATGTTCTAATTCTGGTCAAGTTTCTACACGGCAGACGGTTACAGCTGGTGCCGGATCTTCAGCCGATGACCTATGTGGCGTGGGCGCCGGTGACCCTTGCGGCGTGGGCGCCTCGTCGTCGGCAGCCAGTAGTATACGGAGGAAGAACCCATGGACGAAGATGAAGGGTGCGTCGACGGAGATGAAGCGCCGGAGGAAGAGGAAAAGGAGGAAGATCAGGAGCGATGGATGAATGTCGAATTACAAACTGCCATCGCGAAACAAGCGAGGATGGTCTTGGGCACTCTCCCCAAGATAGCCGGCAACGGCACGCTGACTCCACCACAGTGGATGAAGGAGCGGCATCTGCCGCCCAAGCATGTAGCGGCGGCATTTAATCGACGTTTACCTGACGCCCCGATATGCCGGCCCGCAGACAGCCTGGAGAAGCGCGCCGCTGCGGCGATGAAAGCGGCGAAAGTGACACCAGCGATTAGTACCCGGGTCGAGAAGGGAGAGATCATGGATGTGCTTTTGAAGGAGCCGGCCATGGCCGTTTTCGCGACGACACACGTTGTGTTCGCTCTCTACGTGCACGACGTGGTCTTCTTCGAAGAATTGGTGGGCATTCCAGCTATCCAGGCAAGTGCATGCATGAGCGAAGGAGCCGATGACGGTACCCGACCCTTTTGACCTTTGTAAGGTTTTGCGCGTGCGTGCAGAAGGTGCGTGCTGAAAGATTAAAAAAAATACACAAAAAGTCGTCGCACATTCAAATTGTTGTTGTGACTAGTTTCTTGTTGATAGTGCATTTTGGTTATCAAGGATTACAATGTTACGCACGCTCATGATCTATCGGCTCATGCCAATGTCGACGTTGTTGGTCGGTATGCCCCCCTCCCTGCCGCTGCGGCAAGCCCACAACTCTTGTTTGAAGTTTGGATGACGGGAACCTTCAGAAGTTCTGACAGAAAGAGCCGAACTCTGTTTTGTTGGTTGGAAGTTTTGCTCTTGATGAGACCTGCCGCCGCCGCACTCAAGAGTCTCTGTCAGGGATTAGCCCTCTCACCTCATACAAGGGACACCGCCTGAACAGAAACGAGCATTGGAACAAGGCCTGACGTAAAGGGCCCTATCCCCCTGTGTTGATTTCTTTTCAGGTGACAACCCCCGGCCGGGCGAAGGGAGTGAGGATGATCTGTCCAGGATACAAATCGAAGTCGTGAGTGAAACCTCCTGGAGTATCAGGGCATGGCTTCCCAG